GTCAAAGGCCTTTTCAAAGTCAATGAAGTTGAGTGGGGTAGAGAGGTGACTGCCATTCCAAGCTTTGTCCAATGATGATCCATAATGTGGCGATCTGATCAATGCATGACTTGTTTCTCCGGAATCCAGCATGTTCCGGTCGAAGTTTATCATCCAGGGCATGTTTGATTCTCTCCAGGATGATTCGGCTTAGTATTTTGCTTGGGATGGACAAGAGCATAATTCCGCGCCAGTTCTTGAATTGACCTAAGTCCCCTTTCTTTGGCAGTTTGAATGAGAAGCCTTTCTTCCAATCCACTGGTGCCTCGCCCTCTTTCGACACCTCCAGTAGTGGTGTCATCAGGTCCGCTGATATCTCTGGGTCCATTTCGAATGCTTCTGCTGGGATTCCGTCTGGTCCTGCTGCTTTTCCAGTTTTTCGCATCTTTATTGCCTTCAGGATTTCTGTTCTCGTCGGAGGGTTGATGTCCACTGGTAACTGTGCTTCCACTGTTGGTGTTATTGGGCGCGTTGTAGGTGACGGTAGGCTTAGAAGTCTTTTGAAGTGTTCAGCCCAGTGTTTCCTTTGCTCCACCTCTTTGGTGAGTGACCTTCCATTGTCGTTCTTCGCTGACTTAATTTGTGTTGAACTTTTCCCTGACGGGCATCTAGTTGTTTGGTGGAGTGTTGTGAGGTCTCCTGTGCCTGCAGCTTGCTCTGCTTCACTTGCCATAGCTTCATAATATTTTCTTGTCTTCCCTGGTGCTCTTATTCAGTCTTTTGTTCAGTGTATTGTAGCTTGCATTCAGCTTCTGTTTTTGTATCGCCTCTAAGGACTCGTTCGAAAAGTACGGGTCCCAATTAGAACATCTAATTAGGTGCTGATACAATTCCCAGTCAGCATGTGTGTACAATCTCATAGGTGTCTGGCCAGCTTCAGGAAAGATATCAAAAGAACACACTACTATTTTATGGTCACTTTCTGGAAATTCATGTCCCACATGTACTGTAGATGGTTTTATGTTGTTCGTGAAAATAAAGTCTAGGATATTTGCGGATCTAGTGGATGAATTTATATGTTGTGTCCACCCTCCTGTGACGATGGAATTCAGGAGATTATCATACCTTTGGTGTCCTCGGAGTGAAGACCATGATACTTCTGGCATGTTGAAATCACCTCCGATAATTTTATAACTGTAGGGAAGATTGGCTGTAACATCAAAAACATTGCTGAGCATATTATCATATTCCCTGTTGGATGAAGGGGGTCGGTACGCACAACCGACAAGTATAGGTTTACTTCTGACAACTTTTATTTCGACCCAAATAGAGTCATTGAGTTGTGACAAAATTGGGTTGCTAAACTTGGCTGCACACAAGGATTGTTCACAATAAATTAGTGTTCCACCCCCAAGACATCTCTATCTGTCCCCTCGAAAAAGGTTGCATTTATCAGTCCTCAGGCCATCATTGGAGATATCACTTGTGCACCAGGCTTCAGTGATCATAATCAATGACGGTCTGCATATAGAAGCTAACGTACCTAGTGTTAAGTGTTTGCTTGGAACTGATCTCGCATTTACTAGGATAATAGATAAACACTGGTTATGTGGTTTCAGTGAGTAGACAACATCTTGATAAAACAATCCGTGAGTATCCTCTATATACATTTTATTAGACTCATTTGGTGTCGACACTGTGTCAGCTATCTCCCGGGAAATATGCCTTGCCCTGGCTGTAGACTGTTCGCTAGGAATTGATCTGGTATCATGCGTGCTATATGCATGATGCCAGGTGTTTCTGCTAATTGACGCTGGCGAAAATCCTGCCCGAAGGTATAACCGACATGAGTATTCGGTAATTTGTTGCCAGTACAAGAATGAAGTGTTTGTATATGTTCCGGGTAGTCATCAGACCATAGCATGTGTTGTGCAGAAATTGGCACATGCTCCCTACTAGATGCATAGGATGTATGAGTGGGTTCTGTTGGCTTGCTAAATGTAGTCTGTGGCCGATGTTTAGGGGATTTTCTATAACTTTCAGTTGATAGAACATTGGAAGGGGGTTGGCTAACAATGGGTTTACGTAGTGGATAAGCAGAATAATACCTACTACCTTGCTGTGCTGTTTGTCTAGAATTAGTGGTAGGATATAACTGACTTTCCACTTGACACCAGTTAGGCCTACCTCTAGGAGCTAGGTCTATCATATTTGACTTTCTCTTAGGATGATGGCTCAGAGGTGCTTTCGTCTCTATCATATCGAAGGGCTTTCTTACTCCGGGTTCAGTATTTAATTTATTTACTTTTTCCCTTTTCTTATGATCAACTGGTTGATGATGGCTAACAGGGTAGCCAGCACATGCTATGTAGCGATTCTGTTGCTTGGACATCTCATGCGATTTAGTTTTCTTAGTGGAAATGGGACGTTTGTCATAACGCCTAGAAAACTTGCTAACTTGGGTAGCTACGTTCGACTGGTACTTCACAGTGGATGGATTGTCAGACTGAGGAGTAATTGAATTATAAGGGGATGGGTGGAACATCAGTCGGATGGGTTTTGATGTTTTCTGGCTCTTGACGCTTGTGTCAGTGTGTAAACGATGTATTTCGACATTGTGTTCTGTTGACTCATATATGTCCACCATTTCAGTGTCAGCATCAGTATCTTTATATAATACTTGGCTAATATTTGTCTGTGCCTGCGAAAATGTCTGATGCATGAGGTCATCAGGTATTTCACCACACGGAATAACGCATGGAACGTTATCTACAGTTGTCCTATTAGAGTTGTCGGTTTTCAGTGTTCCTGAGCGGCATCGTCTTTGGCATGGTGTTAAATCAGGTGCAAACTTAGTGTTAGTGTAGGGTGTTGAACAGCATATTATCTTACCAGCTTTCAGAAAATTCCTGGATTCTTCAATAGACGTGAACTTGAAAAGCACCGGACATGAGTGGTTTACAGATTTCTTGCGAAGACGCAAAACCTGACATTCTGTCAACGACATATTACAAGCCTTTAGACACGAAGTCTTAAGTTTGGCAATAGGCTCTCTGTCTGGAATGTTATAGGCCAAGACGTTATGTGAAGACATAATCCTCTTAACAGCTTCTTCAGCCATATAGTCAATTATGCGCTCGGACATGATAAGTGATTTAAGACAGATGTTTTGCGATGCGTCACACAATTGCGTTAGGGGCGTTATGCTGTCGAACTTTCTCTGTAGGTCTGCTATTGACTTCTGAAGTGTCAGTAAATCATTTTTGCTACAAGCCGCATTCTCTGTCAGTTCCTCCATGGTATCAGATACCATAACTCTGGGTGTGTCTGGTGTCAAAAGTGTAGAATCGTCAACAGAGCTGAGGTCTTCAGATGATTGGCGAGTATTAGATCTCAGTCTCTTAACGGTACTTACACGTTTGATTGATTTAACCATTACAGAAACAAGAATTTTCACGATTTCCGGAAAAAAGTCTTGAGGATATAAAAAAAGATAGCTGAATTATCGAAGTATCAAAAAAACAACGATAAACAGATATATATTGCTAAATAAAAAGTCAGACTTTCCTTTAACAGTGCTTGCTGTGGATAAAATCCTGAGTTACACGTGGTTAGAGAGGGCATCAGGAGATTCCGAGTTGTAGATTTCACGAGTGAATAATATATGTAGTTCCAGGTGACACAATACAATCCTTGTTAAGTATGGATATGTGGAAAATGTGAGGAAAGCGGCTAATTTTCAAAATAATAAGGAAAGATGATTCGCGCAGAAACTGAACAGTTGTAGCGCAGCAGTTCAAAGTTGACGAAACTTTGTTTATTTTCACGACAAGTGTGAAGATACGCAATATGTATTCGGTTATGTTGCCTTGCTTGAAAATAAGGTTTACGCATGTAGTCAATTGGCACCAATCGCATACTTAAATTTTCCCTTATCCATCATCCACTTGGGCCACAAATCTTCACCATCATACTCCCTTATCCATTTGTTATACCATTCAGCACTATGTTCACTGAATAAAATTGATGAAATCAGTGCCACTGACAATAATTCTAAAACATTGAATGGAACTGTGAATTATGATGGTTACGAAATGTGACATTTCACTAGTCGCATTCACACCCGCTGGTCCATTACTGAGTTTTCTCTCCAGGAATGGTGAGTAATGTGCACAACTGCACAGAGTGAGCATTTACTACTACATACGAATTCCCGTTGGAAGCACATGCCTCCCTGCTATCACTTGCTACTGATGGAAGATGTCCTCACCAATGAAACCGAAGTTTGAGTCATCCAAGATTAAAATCCAGGGAAGTGAAGGACGAAGTCGCATATTGATATGGTAAATATTCAGGCACAGTGTCATGATGGGCAAACTGAAAAGTGAGCATGAGTCATGGCCCCAGACGACCCGGATTCATAAGTGGATGACATTAGCTGCTTCCAAGATATCAATCATATGAGTACACGTATGCCAATAACAAGCCTGCACTTCTGTCAAATGGCATTAAATTTCCCCACATAATTTAGTTGCATAAGCCATGGCACGAAAACATGGTAGGTCACTTGCAGAGTTTGCAAGTGTATTTATGGAAATAACTGCCAGTAGTTATTGCAGCTGGAATACCTATGATAGGCTTGGTAGCATCTCCCGGTGTCCCATCTGCTTCCAACAAAGAAGAGTAATGGACTAGCACTAAGACTTCTTTACCGTCTTTGGCAGCACTTTCAAACTTTGTGACTGAGTAAATATGACCTCACTCTGAAATCCTACACCGTGTATTTTACAAGGCATCTGCGTGATTTACGATCTTTAAGATACGCTTTCCTTTACGGTTGTTGGAGTTTTTGTTGATCACAAAGTTCAAACCACTTGATATATTTACATTTTTGAAATTCAGAATTGTCAGTGTATTTCTAACGATTACGTTGCGTTTCCTAATTTGCAGAAGCAAGATTAAGTAGATGCTCGAAAATCAGTTTGCATTAGTCAGGTGAAAGAAATATTCACATGAAATGAATTACACCAACCTCACCCGCCAGGTTTAATAATTGCGGTACTGGAATGTACAACTCCAGGTCTCCACATAGAAGTCCATGGAGTTCAAGTAGTCCTAATGCAAGACAAGATCATTTTCAGAGACCGAGATTTACTGGCCACCCTAGGTAATTAAATCGACCTAAGGAAGTTGTGATTTGGCAAAATGTACTAGGGAAATCGCCCTTGTGCAATGGCAAAGAGCAGTTATCACAGTGAAATGATTTTAAACTAAACACTCCGATCTCTCAGCGTGATAAATGAATGCTTTTGATAATATTAGTTGTAGTTTTCACCCTGATTCAGTTTGAGATTATGGTTGGTATCTATTCGAAATACTGAGCACTGTGATTTATATCGTTAGGTTATATTGATCACAGACCACACATTATAAATAGTGGTACTGGCACTCCTACACTTCCTGGTTTGCTTACCATAGCTTCTCCGATAGAGAACTGAGAACTCTTTCTGCAGCATATACCCTACATAATTCACTTTTGACATACATATAACCGCTAACGTAGTTTTTATACAATGCCACTTTTTACGTGGAAGTATATGACCGACTGATTTGAAGTCATGTGACTGTAGTATCCATTTAACGGTTGGCCATCTGACAATAATAAGCTAAATATGAGGCAATTGATGATAATGTTGGTATTTGGTCATTCCGTTGCCCGGCGAAGTATGATTTTTAGTGCGAATTCCGCACCAGTGGTGACATTGAAGAAACAAAGTATGAATTTTTTCACATTAATTCAAGGAAATGTAACTATGAGACTATCTTCCCCTTCGAAATATGCCTAACTTTTACTGGTAAAGTCAACCTTTAAGCAGCAGTAAGTGCCAGTGGAGTGCGACTGCAGCAATGACTTTGAAACGCCCACTGAGCAAGTTAGTGAAACCTGGTAAATACTATTTTAATCATCAATAAAATATGCTTAGTGAAGTGTCATGTCATTAAATGGGATATCTGGCAAGTTTCATGTTAGTTTTGGGAAAAATTAAGTAAAGGTTTAGGCTAATGACAGGTTAGGGTTAGGTCAACCTAATGAGGGCAACAGGGCTGGTTCGAGTTAGATTAGAGTTACTTTAGGGATATTTTCATGTTAGGGTTAGCTTAAAGAAAGATTATGGTTATCGTTAGGTTAAGAAGGTCTAGATAATTACATGCACAGAATGTGGTAAGTTACTTTGGTGATGCTCCAATCACAAACTGAGTATTTTTGTCACACATCAGGGAAAGGCATCCTTTGCATGCCTTTTGATTCATTATTTCCATGAATATATGTGTTTTATAGGCAAACGTCGCCTTTGTCGTGTGGTAGGTGATTTCAAGGTCATTTTTCCGCTGCTGTTTACTGGTGCTTAAAGTTTAACTTAACCTCTCTGCTTTTTCTGTGATTTGTTTGGAATTCTTCAGTACTTGACCGCTTACATAAGTTTATAGACTTATAGATGATATCCTACAACATTTTGTGAGACCCCCACATGCTTTCTTTACTTAAAGAAATCTGTTATGTTGTTCCTGCGACAAGTGAAGCCAATTGTTGTAGTAGTCTGATTGAATATTGTGGTAGTCATATCTGCTTTTTTTATTCCTGTACGTTCCCAGTGGAACATGACTGTCTGGTTTCTACATAGAACTTTGCACCGATGTGCAGCAGTTCAAGTCGCCACACTTCACTCAGCACACAAAACCAGAGAAGAAAGTAAATGGAACATAGGGCTTCAAGTTTTGGTAGCACTGGTGTTTATTTTTACCTGAAGGAGTTGCTAACCTCATGCCCAACCTTCCCTCTTTACCAGTGTTATTACTGGCTTAGCTAGGTAGAGGAGTTCGTCGGCCAAATTCGGACCAAATGCGTGGTCGGCGAGCATTCTACCGCTGTGCCGCTGACGCGCATATCTGCTTATTCGACTATAGTTCTGTGTTATGCGGCTATATTAATAATTAATCAATAAATGTAGAGATGTTTTTCAATTTAGTGGTCTGTAGTATTGTTTCTGCCTTAAGTCTCTGTTACATGTCTCTTTTGTCTGTTCGGTCGGTGGGTCCTCATTCCACTTAGTGCTTCTGAACATAAAGTAGCATCATTAGCTTTAATTTCATGTTGTATCGTTTGGTGGATAAGACGGCACTTGTTTTTTAGTAGTCATCTCATAACTCTGAGGACCTATCGCTTCTTGATCGGACCTCAAAGCCTCATGCAAAGAAATGTGCCGTCTTCATTTCCCAGGACGGTGCAGACAGCTTTTTATATGCATTAACTAAGGTATTGTGCAGCGTCTAGGAATCAGAGGTAGTCCCGTAGGGCTGGTGTAACTCATTGATTATCCCGATATACAAGAAGGGAAACAAGTCTTCCTGTGATAATTACAGGGGGATTAGCTTGACTAATATGGTATCTAAAGTTCTGGGCCCAATAATAATGTGTAGACTAAGCGGTAATCGGGAGGAACAAACACCAGAGAACCAGTGATAAAAGAATAAAACTTGGGCACTGTGGTAGAGTGTAATTCCGTTATGGGTAAATTTTATTTTGATAGTCTCACAGTGTTATACAGTAATATTTACTGATGACGTTTCGAGCACAATTGATTGCTCATAATCATATGTGATATGATATGATTATGGGCAATAAATTTCTTGACCTAAAGCCGGCATTCGATTCTGTTAACCGAGAGGTACTATGGCGATGTTTGACTGTGAAGGAAGTGCCGAAAAAATACATAGCACTGACCAAGACACTCCACTCAAACTCATACAGCCAGCCAGGTGAGAGCCTACTGAGAATTATCTGAAGTGGTGACACCCAGTGATGTCCGTCTGGGATGTCCACTGTCTTCATATCTGTTTAATTTCATATTATACGTACTAACGGACTAACTAACTTCAGAGACTCAGGGATTAACTTGTTACCAGGGAATAATCTCGTTGACTTAGAATATGTATGCTGATGTTATAGTCCTGCTCCTGGGTGAAGACGCTGACAAAATGCAGTCTTCTGAACACTTTGAGGAGCAGCAATCTGCGAATATTTGGCATGCAATTCGCTCCCACCAGATGTAAGATGATGCTACAGGACTGGACTACATCAACCCCTAGCTTAAAGATAGGGGGTGAAGTGGTGGCTGAGCGTGTTGACCACTTCACTTATTTGGGAAGTCGCATCAACCAGTGCCAGCGAGTTGATCGCTGACGAAATCTCAGCACAGATACAGAAAGCTTGTTCAGCGAACGCCAACTAAAGCCATCTCTGGTGTAGACGTCCGGCTGTACTGTACTGCTCATCATTTCGCTCTGTCCTCCTTTATGGCTGACTGTAAGACATGGCCATTAAGAGTGGAAGACATGAAAAGGCTGGCTAGCTGTCTTTGTTCATAGGTATCTATGGATTGTGGCGACTTGAACTGCCGCACATATGTGCAAAGTTCTATGTCGAGAAACGACCGACCGACCGACCATAGGTATCTGCGTCCTATCCCCCGTTTTAGCTGGTATAATAAAGTGGGTAATAGTGAGGTTGGGCATCGAGTGCTAGGTAAGGAGCGAAAATCAATCGATTAGATTGTTAAGCTACATCGATTGAGCTGGTTAAGACGTGTGTTACGCATGCCTATCCATTGCCTTTCTCGACGGGCAATATTAGCTGAAATAGGATTGATCAGATTGGAAAAGAGTTAGTGGTGGTCAAACCAAAACGTGGAGTCAGTTCATGAAATCTCTAACAGTTAGTTTAAGCCAGTCACATTGGGAGGTGTATACTTCCTGGTTGGGGGTCTTCAGGATTCTAAGAACCAGTGACTGGAGACAATTGGTGTTATGGCTCAAAATCGTTCTCAATGGCTGGCGCAGATGCATTCACTCTTTGTGATATTTAATACCGAATAAATTTCTGTTGTTCTTCCATATTACTGTTCTATTCGCCTCGTATCTCTGTTTTTCATTTGTCTTTTGAATCTCTTTAGTCTCTTCCCTTGCTTTGTTTACTACATGGAGTGTAGCAACTCGAACTGCTTCACGTCTGTGCAAAGTTCTATGTTGAAACCAGTCTGTCAGTTATGATGAAACTCTATTGAACTATGGATAGTTTTGTCGAGTCGCATTACAACTACGCTGGTGAAACCCACTAGACTGTATGCTCAGTGTTTTCAGGCAGTATTATGCATGGCTCAGAAATATGTTCGTTTCTGTCAGCCAGTAGCAAACACTGCATCGTGTGAGCTGGCCTAAGATATGCATTTGTACTTTCTCTAACTCGTATTCTTGTGATATTATTTAACATAGTACATTCCTAGGTTTTCATTTTGTATGATATATGTGTTGATCTAATAATAATAAAGTGAATAACGAGTTTAGATTTCTGCGAATAGTAGAGTTTCAATAAACTGTTTTCATAGTCCATCACTAAATTTTGAAAGTATTGGTGGTTTTAGGGAATATTTTAAAACTAGAGTACCTTTGCGTATGAAGTAGTTTTAACCTGTTTCCGTTACTCACTCTATATTTAATGAGTGGTCTGTAGACTTCAGGTTATGAAAAATGTCTCTCAGTAGTGTTAATTAGATCGGTTTTCTATGAACAACTTTTATCATTTGAACTTAATAATAAATAATTATTAATAGTATTGTGTTGTGAAATGTCATGAATGCGCAACAGTGCGCTTAGACAAGAATGTAGCAAAATAATGTTTCTTAAGTAAACTAATTGGTAACATCAAGATTAGAGTATTTTTTGGCTATGAATATGAATCACTTTTATCTTTTTGGCACAATCGTTTCTTTTAGTAAGATCACAATGATTAATATAAGGTTGAAGTGTAATAGGCTAGGTAATATGTGAAGCAGTTAATATGGTCTTGAATATCCACAGGTGATTGAAGAATACATCAGTCATGCTTACCAGTTCGCTCCGTCCTTCTCTATGGCGGTGAGACGTGGCCATTGAGAGTGGAAGACATGAAGAGATTGTCTGTTTTTGACCACAGATGTTTACGATCTCTTTCTCGCGTTAGGTGGTATAATAAGGTAAGTAATGTTGACGTTAGGCGTAGAGTGTTAGGCAAGGAGGGAAAATCAATCGAAGAGGCTATAAAGTTACATAGATTGAGATGGTTAGGTCACGTGCTGCGCATGCCTAGCCATCGCCTCCCCCACCCGACGGGCATTACTAGCTGATATAGGTGCAGGTTGGAAAAGAGTAAGTGGTGGCCAAACAAAAACATGGCATCAATCCATGAAATGCTTGACAGTTAAACTGAGTCAGGTAGGGAAATGCACTCTTCCGGGTTGGGGCCCTCGGGACTCTAAGAATCAATGGCTGGAGACACTAGGTGACATGGCTCAAAATCTTTGTCAATGGCGCAGATGTATTCAGTCTCTGTAATCTTTCGTATTCCTTTCTACCATTACTCATTCTGTTTCACTCTTATACTTGTCAAAACTCTATTGATTCTCTTCACTCATTTTTTTGTCTACCTTTGTGTGCTATTTGGAACTTGGCAAGTTCTATGTTGAATCCAGCAGCAGCATGCTTACCAACCTACCTTAGTGTAAGTTGTTGACTGAATTTAAATAATATTAGTAGTGGAGTCAAAATATGTCACCTAAGAAATTATAGGCTGTTAATCTGAATCACTACAGATATCCTTTCAGCGGTTTAAGTCAGTAGTTAGCAGAGTGAAGTGTTATGGTTCCAAGCTCAGATGTGTTTCCTCTTGCTTTAAAACTTCGGAAAAGTTGTTTCTTTCTAATTTTGTCTGTTTTCTTTATATTCCATGATTTCTCTACTTTTATTGGGTGAATTTGTAAGTATGAAGTGCTATAATTCTGTGTAAGACAGACCATTGCGAATCCCGATTTTTTGAGTGAATGTAAGACACGATATTTCAAACAATAGTATAGTTTGCAAATCTTCAGTGTGTCAAAGCGAAATATAAATTTACATTTGGTTTTATTGTACAGCTTTGTTTGGCGAAAGAACTTCAGTTTCCAACTCAAGTGTTTGGTATTATTCATTTCAAGCATCTTACGTAGTTATGTTCATTCTTTTTGTAGGATTTTCAGTCTAAGGTCTAGCATTTCTACCTGTCCACGTTAAATAAGGTGGGCGATTGGCCCGTGTGTCAGTGACTCAATTGTGTGTAGACCACTTCATTATATTAAGGTGGACTAACAAAATTATAGTGGCAAGAAGTGACTTGAAAAAAAAACACATGCACATTAACCCAGTTGAGTTTAAGCGTATTATTCAGAACAGTTAATAAGAATAAATGTTACTGATAACCTTATTTCGTGCTTTTACTGCTGAACATGTTTAAATAATAGGGTTACAGTATTATTTAGCACACCTCATTTGTAGAATTCATACATCTCTTTCAACCATTCACATCCAAAACTTTTTTTCTTTGTCTTACAGATCTCCAATTACTTTAACTCCGCCTTTTGGCAATGAAAGATTCCCTCGGTATCCACAAGACTCTTCATTTTATTGGAGTTCACCACCTCCTGTTAACTGTTCACCTTATCAAACTAACAGTCCTGCAAGATATGGTACGCCAAATTTTAACCAGTCATCATATCAACAAAGCTTTTATTCTCCTATGAGCTCTTATGCTACACCGGGCTCATCATGCTTACCTAACTGCAATTCACCTATGAATATGCACTATAATTCAGTATCCAGTGGTTCATATTCAACTGCACAAGAAGATTTAAGCTGGAAATATGATACATCCTACTCTAATTCTTCAATATGTAATGCCAACTCATTTTCACCAAGAAACAGTGGCAGAAAATTCGGTGAAAACCGTAATCATCCAGTGAAAAATTGGATTGTTGCCAGCTTATCAGATCCTTGGGAAGGCTTGAAACCAGTTCGTACACCATTGTCGGGTTATTTAGTTGATAAACCACCTGCCCAAACACACACTATTCTGTTCGCTCCTCATGAGCGTCGAAGAAAATTGGAGCTAGACAATGGTGAAAAGAATACAATTAGTCCAACAAAGAGAATACAACTAGTCGGTGCAGAATGAATTTGTAACTATTAAAATGTTTTTTATTTCATGTATATTTATCATTCCTATATATATACATACATGAAATATTTATTTTTGTACAGTAGTTATTACCAGGTTTTCGAAGTTTTCTTCTGATTAATAAATTATCATTTATACCTATTCCTGAGCTGCAATCCTTGACTCCACATTAATTGAATATTTGGTGCGCTAACTCCACATAAGAACTTGTAAGACATGGCTTCGTCCTCAAGTTCAGTACATTTTACAAGCATTCTCTATTGATATGTTCTATCTTCCTCTTTTCTTCAGGTGTCAGTTGTATTAAAAATAGGATGTGAGAGTCTGTAAAAAGATATTTGTGTTGATTTTTACTATTATAAAAGTGAGAATTTTTACAGAATTATCTTGTTCAAAGAAAGTGATGACACAGGCAACGTGTAACGTGAAACAGTGGTATATCAGTTCAAATTCCAAGAGTTCATAGCATTGCGGTAAGAAGAAATGAAAAGAAAACGATAAGGGAATGGTCATATTGTTATGAACGTTAGTAAAATACAGTCTACAGTTAGAATCCCGATGGGTACGTACTGATGAAGAGTCCCAAACTAGGACGAAATAGCTGTCCAGTACTCCCAGGTTTTCCAATGATTCTCTAACTAATGTTAGATCATGATGAAAATCCTGTAACCAATCAAATCCCTACAAACCAACACTTGAATATCAATGAGGTGTTCACTAGCGACTTGCCCTATTCAGGTAGGTAGTTACCTAGGGTTCTAGTGAGAAGTCGTGACCAGTAGGGTGCAGCAGGTCGGGTGTGAAGACAAATACTCGCCGAAAACATTGGCTAGGGGTCGCGCTATGTCGTGAATTGGCAGTAGTTAGAATTCATGGGGTGGTCATTGGATCGGGTCCCAGTGGCTTAATGGTATACGAGCTCACCTTGTAACCAGAACGTCCTAGCTTCGAACCCTGGCGGTGGGTGCGTGCTGATGAAGAGTCCAGAACTAGGACGAAACGGTTGTCCAGTACTCCCAGGTTTTCCCGTGGTTCTCTAACTAATGTCAGCTCATGATGAAAATCCTGTAACCAATCAAATCCCTACAAACAAACACTTGTAAATCGAAATTTGTGAAAATAGGACATTAACAAGTTTAAGATACAAAAGAATGTATACATGTAGAAATGGCAATTCGGTGTTTTGAAACTGAGAAAGAATTCAGAAAGGAAACGATTCAATGTACAGAAACAAATGGTAGTAATTTTGTTCCTTATCAGCGTCAAGAGTGAAACGATTATAAATAGTTGGGAGTAGATAACGACAAATTCTCAAACATGGATGTACCATTTATTGACCCTTGTTGATGAGATGTGTCCATACTTTGGCGATTCACTTGGTATCCGAAGTTCAAAACTGAATAGTAAGTGACTGTACATCTCTCAGTGCCCATGTTGTACGAAGTTTTATTTAGGTAAAATAATTCGATTATGAATTACTTCAGTGGCAGTTAAAGATGCCACTGTAATTTCGCCTAATTTTTAAGTATCTCTAACTGCACTATGGTGTAAGTGTAAAAGCCTTGGTCCAGTGTTCTCCGTTTGTTGCTTGTGTGGCAACTTGAACCGATGAAAAAGAGTTAGGAGTAGTTTGACCTAAAATATGACGCTAATCCATGAAGTTTTTGACTGTTAGTTTGAGTCACTCAGGAAGGTGTAAACTGTCTAATTGCTGAGAATCATTGGTTGGAGACTGTCGATTATATGGCTAAGAATCGTTATCAATGGTATATATGTATTTTTTCTTTGATTATAGCTTGAAACCACACAGTATTTTCGGTACAAGTATGGAATTCTCAGCATGTGATATAGGTAGCCCAAATTTTGCAGACCGACCATTGATATCGGGTGTGCGCCAGCAGGGGATCGAACCCCGGACCATGTGCATGGTCGGCGAGAGTCCTAACCGCTGTGCCACTCCTTATCTTCATCCACTTTCTGAAAATTATTCACCAGTCTTCATCTGGTTAGTCTTTCTTCCTTACAATTTCATTATCTGTAGTTTCATTACATTTCCTTTGTATACTTTTCTTTGTGCTACTCCGAAGTGTGTCAACTTGAACTGATACACTTTAGTGGAAAGTTATACTCTGGTCACTTTATTGCTTGTAACCATGTAATATTAAATATAACACTCTATCGTACAAGACCGTCCAAAACAGTAAGCCATTGATAGTAACTGCTCAACAAATCTTATTTTCTCATGTTATTTAAGTACTGCTTGTAGTATTGACAGTGATATCATGACAGCAGTTGAGCATTTTATCTGTTCCGCTGTTGCTTCTATTCGGTCTTAAAACGCAGGAGGCGTATTTTAAGCTTTTGAAATCGAAATTTGAAAAACCTTGGTGACATGACAACAGTGAACAATGTTCACTTCTATTAAAATTCTAAACCTTTTGTAACTGTGTCATTCATTAATATCATTAACGTGCATTAAAATATTACTGACAGTTTTTTAGTAGACGTGCGGCAAGATTGGAAAGTCCTGGATTTAGTGTTGTATGTTGTAGTTTGTCCCAAATTGGGTGGAAGTAACATTTGAATGCTTTCTCTCTTTGATTACTTCCATGGTTGGTATCAATCCTTTGTAAGAACTGTTTCAATTGTCTATCGATTATACATGAACTGCTCTAGTAAAAGTATTCTTTATCATTGTGTGCAAAGAATAAGTGTCCTGTAAATAATTCGATTATTTCTGTTTTTACCAATAAGTGTTTATTGATTTACAATTCAGTTAGAACATTAATGAGTTCGTAAACTTACTGAATATAGAAAAACATAGTCAATTTTATGCTTTTGAAGACTAATAGAGTTATAGAAATAGAAGCATTCAGACCTCATAGTTCCATCATATATAATACATCGCATTTTTGGTACAAGTATGGAATTTTCAGCATGTGATTTCGGTAGCCTAAATTTTGCAGGCTGACCAATTGATATCAGGTGTGCATCGGTAAGGGATCGAACCCCGGACCATTTGCATGGTCGGCGAGAGTCCTAACCGCTGTGCCACTTGATTTTAAACACACGAGAATGTGTAGTATTTTTGTATTGTTTGTAAGGTGTAATAGCAGAATAAGTGTAGAGATGTGGCTAATTGGCTTAAACACGGTTTTCAGCCGATGGGTCACGGGTTGGAGTCCCACTCTACCTATTGTAGTATGGTCAACTGGATAGTATCACCAGTCCTCACACGACAATATGGCTCTTAGCCTGGTTCATGAGAAATGTGTTCCGAGTAATTGAGCTTAAGAAAATAGTGGTGGAATAACCAAAGTCCTCACGAGTAGATTTGGCTGCCTTCTACATGAAACTCCCCAACTGGATTTGAGCAGAATTTGTTGCAGATTAAAAAGAAAGAGTTGAGAAAGCATTTCCTAGTGGAAAAATCTTTCGGGATCTATTCAGGGAGGTATGTTATCCCATTTCAGCAGTTCCATCATTTATCTTAAGGCGTCATGTCCACATTTTACAACTATTTAAGATCTAATGGATAGTTATTAATCCGGTAGCTGCTGGGATATCGTTCTGAAGTACATTTCATTGGTTAAAATCTAAGGCAATCGACATCTTTTAATTAAAGAGGAAAAGAGGTCTTCGAAGTTACTAACCTCCAACAAAACAATCATGATGTTACTAGCAGATAAAGATGAATAAACAACTGTCATTATTAAAACGTATTATTATTATTTAAGATTTAGATTTGCAGAGATTTGATCAATTTCAGGGTAGACTTCGTCGCTAATCGACTTCAGTTAAAGAACCAGTAGCGTATCATGAAACAATGGTTGGTTGTTTCATCCGTGTTTGGGATTCTCCAGCAGTGTACACCTACTGGATTGAGATTCATCCGCCTGTGAATTTTAACGAACGTCCATCTGCGATATTGTATGAACACCCATCCATTGTCAATATTCTGGGTCCTACCGTTATGGGTTGGTGGGCGCACGTTATTGAAAAGTTTTATTCTGGTGCTACAGTGCTGTTCAGCTCCTCGTGATTTTTAAAAGTCGTCCAACTGTCTTGAGTTCATGGCGAAAACTATTTTGTAAAAGGCACGACAGTTACTGAGTAACAAAAACATCTCTCAATTGCTTGATAAAAACCCAACCCAACTAAGCAATTAGAAAGTTCTGGTAGGGAACGAAGAGTGGATAATTTCCTTTGGTATGACTTTGCTTTTCACTGTATTTAACCTGTTTTACAGATGGAACTGATGAGTATATCAAAGTAGCGAGGATCGGGAAAGCAAGGCAAGGTTTCATTACTCTCAAGTCTATGTGGAGATCAACAACATTCAACATGAAAAACAAGATCCGGATTTTCAACTCCAATGTGAAGTCAATGCTACTTACTATACGGATTAGAGACTTGGTGCTGCGCCGCGTCACCAAGGGCACTTCGAACAAACTACAGATATTCATCAACAGCTGTCTTTGCTCAACAATACTCGAAATCAGATGGCCAGAAAACATCAGCAACAAGGAGGGATCTCTGGGAGCGAACCAACCAGGAACCGATTGTGCAACAAATATGCAGCAAGAAATGGTGGTGGATTGGCCATACTCTGAGAAAACAACACCACCAAGTGACATCAATAAACAGGCCATCGCTCGAGTGGAACCCGAATGGGAAGCGGCGAGTTGGTCGTACGCACGAGGGTGACATGGAGGAGATGATGTGAAGAGGAGATGAAAGCTTGTGGGCAGATGTGGAGCCAGGTGGTGAAAGGTTGACAAAGAACCGAACGCAATGGAGATGTGTGGCTGAATCCCTATGTTCCTCTAGGAACTAAAGGAGACAATAATAATAATAACCCAAGTCTAGCCGAATAGGCAGTGAATGCTCCTTTCAAGAACGAGCAAAATATTTCAAAGTATAGAAATATAACTATACCAAACTAGTTAGGACTGGATGGTTTGTATTTTATCATCTACATTCAGTTCAACAAAAAGATCAACGAACAAATTAAAAGACTTTTAGACTCACTTATATCAGGATCGGTCACTGATTTGTTGATGTAGTATCTAAAGTCAGTTGTCATTCTTATGGTCAATCCTAAAATCAGAATTAGTTATGCCAACTTTACTTCCGTGATTTTCCAAGAAAATGATCCTGGAAATGCATTCACGTCTATCAAATGAACATTCAAAGAAATTTGATTAAAAGAAGAAAGGAGTGAAGCTGCATTTCCAGATACTGCCATCGGCATAACTGACTACTTTAACTTGCAAACAAATGTGTACAGGAAAGCTACTCACACTTGCCGGTCTTTAAAATAGAACAGCGACAGGGAAACAGCTAATCAAAACTCTTGTTTGGGAACATTGATTTCAAAAGTCAAAATGAACAGACATTACAAAAGCATGAATAGAACCACCTGTACAAATTGTTCATACGTAACGATTATTACAGCAGTTT